GCCAAGTAACTCTCCAAGTCAACTGCCCCCGGTCAACTGCCCAAGTAAACTGCCCAAGTAAACTGTTCAAACAACTGCTCAGATAAACTGTCCAAGTCAACTGCCCCAGGTCACTGTTCAAAGTCAACTGCTCAAGCCCCAACTGCTCCAGAGCCCAACGCTCCAAGTAAATTTTCCGAGTCAATGCTGGTAAACTGCTCCAGAGTCCGTCAAGTCAAACTGCCCAGAAGAAAAGTTCCAGAACCAAATGCTCCAATTTTAAACCGCTCCAAGTAAACGTCCAAGTAACTCCCGGGTCCTCCCAGATAAATGTTAAGGTAAAACTGTCCAAAACTACTCCAAGGTAATGTTCCCAGTTCAAGTTTTTTTCCCCAAAAGTTCCGTCCCAGTATCCCGAAAAAAGTCCCTTCTTTAGTAGTACCGGTGTGGGCCCTTTTTTTTTTTCAGTCCCAGTAGTCACCATAGGGTTCCCGTTTTTAAATTTAGGAAAACAGGAAAAACAAACAGTTTTAAACAAAGTTACAGTTTCAGTTCAATTGTCCAGTAAAAATAAACCACATTTATCATCCATACTATTGTACTTAAACTAACTTTTAGTCGCGATCACCTATTTATCCGTTTATCGCAATTTCCCTCCGTTTTTGTTTCCGTCGTGGGTTTATAAAATATTTTTTCTCTATTTTGCTGTTTTTATTTTCTACTGCCTCACATCTCCTACTTTGCTCTGAAGTAGGAGTTAGTAGCTAGTAGTCAGCAGTGCCTTATAACCACTGGGCTCCCCTCTATTATACCTCCCTGTCAGGTAGTAAGCAGATAAGTGTCCACTTTGCAGCGTCTCCCTGCAGCTATTGTCACATGCTTGAGCAAGTAACACAAGTAACACATGCAGTGTAGGTCTTGATAATCGTTACTGCGCTGTATTGTAGTTGTACTGTTACTTATACAGTTATGCAGTTACCAGTCATTTACTGCACGTGTAACTATATTTCACTATTAGACTGTCTTACGTGTCTTTATCACTTTCAATTGTTGTTGTTTTTAGTATTAAGTCTGAATTATAGAATATTGAAAACTGTATTTAAAGCTTCTGGGTTAGGGTATCTGAGTCTCGAGCTGCTACGTTGCGAGGACTTTACAGCATATACTTCAAACCTTTTATAGTATATACTTCAAACCCTTTATACTTTTATAGTATAAACTTTAATTGTCTCCAATATGATTGGATTGGAAATTCTCTCCTTGGAGCCTAATTTACCAGATTACACTACTACGCCCTGCTTAATAGAATAGCTGTGAGGTAGGTTGTTACAGCTACTCTACCTTGCTGACTGCAGCTATGAGAGTTAGTGTAGTATGTAGTGACTACTACATACTACTACTACTACTACTACTACTACTTCTAGCGACTACTGTATTAGGTAAATAACTACAGGGAGGCGACTATGCAGTATGCTACCTTCATCATACCCATATTTAAATAGCCAGTGTAATTGGTGAGTACTTTAGCTGGAGGGTCGTTATTTCTCCGCTAGATCATTCGTACTCAAATGTAGTGAGGTTTATGTTCTACAGTTGTAGTTTTAGAGTCCTAGTGTTGCCTCAAATGTAGTGAGATTCTAGCTTCTAGAGTTGTAGTTTTAAGAGTCCTTGCCTCAGATGTGCTTTGTTTTTGGCTCTAATTTTAATTTTTGCAGTTTAGTTTTGTTGAATACAGTTCTTGAAAGAAGAGGTTATGTATTACTAGTTTTTACGAGGATTAGTTTCTGCTAAACACTACTGCTGCTAAACACTAGGTCTGCTAAACAAATGCCGTCTCTCTGACCAGACATTTAGACCGCATACATTGTGTGTAGTAGTTGTTTGGTGTGATATATTTTAGTTGACTAAAAAACTGTGATATTTAGCAGAAGTAACAGCTGGAATAATACTGTGATGATGTTATATTTAACAATATTCTGCCTTCACAAGCTCCGTCTTGTGCAGTATGCTTCTCAAATATATTGTATGCTTACAGTTCACCAATATGTTACAGGCGAACTGAACATACAATTATTACAGTTTTGTTGCGCCGGTCACTTGCAGGTGAACTGGACATATTATTACAGTTTTGTTTGCTTACAGGTGAACTGGACATATTATTACAGTTTTGTAAGTTTTGTTGCTCGCTTAAATCTTGTATATGACGTGATCACGGTAACTTAATCTTATATTTTCTTTAAGTCGGGTGCTTTTCTTACGTGAAGCAGCAGATTCCGGCAGATTATGTAACAAAATTACCAAGGCTCACCAGATAAGAGTGTTTGCTGTTTATACAAATTTTCGTTGTTATTTACGGCTTCCGACAGTTGCATCGTGAGATATAGCATAACTGTGAATTACTCGAAACTTTTACAAATAATTAACTTTTTAGCACTGAGCATCGGTCTGACAAAGCAAAGTCTAATAGTAACCATGGAAACAGCGGTAATGTCGCTCAGTTAAACGACAAAGTTCGTCTAAGTAAAATTACCTCTATCATAAAATGCGTGCTATAATAATTGCTAGTTGTTACTCCTTCATAATTTTTCTGTTTTCAGTATTTTATTTATATATTTTTTTAAATACCAACCTAAGAACTACACAGTACACACACGTCTTATATTCTATAATGACACTGGAGTGTAATGTTTGTTTCTGAATGCTCAGCTGCAAACATTACACTCCAGTCAATCACTCTGAGCAAGAGCGTTACACTGCAGTAAGAGCGTTACACTGGATTAAGAGCGTTACACTGCCGTAAGAGCGTTACACTGCAGTAAGAGCGTTACACTGCAGTAAGAGCGTTACACTCCATTATGTACATTGTACACTGAGCACTCACCTGATCCTATCTTCCACAGTGCATGATGAAATTACCTCTGATCGTAGTTTAAATACAACTCTCTTCGAGGGAGTGAACGTGATTGTTGTTGTGATGTTATGAGCTTTTACTTTTGTTAAGTCAATCAAATTCCATCCATGGGTCACATCATTAATGAATCGTCACTGATTGGTTGACATGATCGGCTGAACCGATCACTGTGGGAGTCTCCCCTGTTGAACGAGTTAGAAATACTAACATTGTTAACAATACCCATGTTGTTACATAAATTAATCCTCAGTTTCCGTAGTGAAAACAAAGGTGTTATACAACTCATAAGCCCCTTGAGCACACACTACACTCTGTACACTGAGTCTGTACACTGAGTCTGTACACTGAGTCTGTACACTGAGTCTGTACACTGAGTCTGTACACTGAGTCTGTACACTGAGTCTGTACACTGAGTCTGTACACTGAGTCTGTACACTGAGTCTGTACACTGAGTCTGTACACTGAGTCTGTACACTGAGTCTGTACACTGAGTCTGTACACTGAGTCTGTACACTGAGTCTGTACACTGAGTCTGTACACTGAGTCTGTACACTGAGTCTGTACACTGAGTCTGTACACTGAGTCTGTACACTGAGTCTGTACACTGAGTCTGTACACTGAGTCTGTACACTGAGTCTGTACACTGAGTCTGTACACTGAGTCTGTACACTGAGTCTGTACACTGAGTCTGTACACTGAGTCTGTACACTGAGTCTGTACACTGAGTCTGTACACTGAGTCTGTACACTGAGTCTGTACACTGAGTCTGTACACTGAGTCTGTACACTGAGTCTGTACACTGAGTCTGTACACTGAGTCTGTACACTGAGTCTGTACACTGAGTCTGTACACTGAGTCTGTACACTGAGTCTGTACACTGAGTCTGTACACTGAGTCTGTACACTGAGTCTGTACACTGAGTCTGTACACATGGAGAGGTTGTGTTTACATTGCAGCTAATTAGCTCGTCTCTAATATTACACACTCTTTTGTCTAAAAGTGTAATGTTAGCTTGGCGGCAATATAGCTTAAATGTTAAAGTCTGCATATAAATCGCTTTTTCGCTGTTTAACCTCATCCAGATAGATTTGATTAAACTTTTGTTTTCATATTCACGGCTCACTCCAGTGTAGTACTACTAGTTGTAGTAGTAGCAATAGTAACTAGTTGTAGTAGTGCCACGTGAACCTCGCTACAGCCATTCTCCCGAGATACTAACAATTTGAAACTTGCCCGCTCCGAGAATTACCACACGCCTCCACAGAGTGGCTCTAGTCACGTGATCACATCACGTGATTCACCACCTGCCTCTCCTTCGTTCCCGACCCTCCACCTGGGTCACCTTGCTGCCTAGCAACCAATAAGGGGACACATAGCTGTCACGTGCAGTTATTCGATCTCAGCTCGTAATGAACAGAACGGTTAAATCTCATTTGGAGTTCCTGTGAGCGAGTTATAGAGAGTTTACTGGTATCTTGTTTCTCTCTCCGACCTGGGCTCCCTCTAGTCATCCTATTAGGTCACTACAAGTCATCATATTTCAGGAGTAGCTCACCTCCTGGATATGGGACAGACTGAGCTACCTATTCTTTATGTGTTTGCGACTAATGATAACAAATGTACTGGGTATTTAACACGGTAACATTAAACCGGTGTGTTCCAGTAAAACACTAATCTTGTTTGGATATCAGTTTACTTTCTCTCTCTCTCCGCTTGTTTACTCTCTTTATTTAGAGTCCGCTTGTTTACTCTCTTTATTTAGAGTCCGCTTGTTTACTCTCTTTATTTAGAGTCCGCTTGTTTACTCTCTTTATTTAGAGTCCGCTTGTTTACTCTCTTTATTTAGAGTCCGCTTGTTTACTCTCTTTATTTAGAGTCCGCTTGTTTACTCTCGTTATTTAGAGTCCGCTTGTTTACTCTCTTTATTTAGAGTCCGCGCTTTTTGAAGTGAAGTTATTGAATCTTCAAGTTTTCCACTATAATTTCACTTGTATTGTATTGATATTCCAATATCTAGGTAGGAATTTATTACGATATTATCTTATCCTGATCACTAGTTTAACTTTTACTTGTTTTGCCCGGATCTACTAACTTTACTTCCTCCAGGATCATGGCGTGTGGTATTTTCTTAGCACTGGTAGCATCTTGTCTCCTTGGTAAGTACTTAGTACATTGTTCCCTTTCTCTGGGGTTGTTTACATACTCCATCGTTTGATTTGGTTTATGAACTGCATTATATACAGTTCTCATCTGGTTTTTACTGAAAACAGAATGTGCTGTAATCTACTTCTATATTTTATTATTTACCTGCTTCAAAATTGCATTTAACTGAAAGTATTCTCCCTTGTCTCTAATCATTCATCTTAAATCAAAAAGTATTTAGATACTATTATTATACGTGATGCAGCAGTTACTTATACAATAACAGTTAATTCATATTTTGTCAGTGCAGAAGTTGTCTGTTAAATTAATATGAGTTGGCCTGAAGTGTCCTCTTAATATCGTTGTAAATTATAAGGTGCACGTGTGCGTGCGTCAGTGGAGTAGCACGATAAGTACATTAATTCACAAGTCCGACTCTAGAAACCTGTCCACTTGATATGAGGGCCCTTAACCAGACTGATGTAGTAGGTGGGATAATCCCACACTGTTGTTCTTTCCCGGGAAAACCCCACACTGTTGTTCTTTCCCGGGATAACCCCACAGTCCACACTGTTGTTCTTTCCCGGGATAACCCCACAGTCCACACTGTTGTTCTTTCCCGGGATAACCCCACAGTCCACACTGTTGTTCTTTCCCGGGATAACCCCACAGTCCACACTGTTGTTCTTTCCCGGGATAACCCCACAGTCCACCCTGTTGTTCTTTCCCGGGATAACCCCACAGTCCACACTGTTGTTCTTTCCCGGGATAACCCCACAGTCCACCCTGTTGTTCTTTCCCGGGATAACCCCACAGTCCACACTGTTGTTCTTTCCCGGGATAACCCCACAGTCCACACTGTTGTTCTTTCCCGGGATAACCCCACAGTCCACACTGTTGTTCTTTCCCGGGATAACCCCACAGTCCACACTGTTGTTCTTTCCCGGGATAACCCCACAGTCCACACTGTTGTTCTTTCCCGGGATAACCCCACAGTCCACACTGTTGTTCTTTCCCGGGATAACCCCACAGTCCACACTGTTGTTCTTTCCCGGGATAACCCCACAGTCCACACTGTTGTTCTTTCCCGGGATAACCCCACAGTCCACCCTGTTGTTCTTTCCCGGGATAACCCCACAGTCCACACTGTTGTTCTTTCCCGGGATAACCCCACAGTCCACACTGTTGTTCTTTCCCGGGATAACCCCACAGTCCACACTGTTGTTCTTTCCCGGGATAACCCCACAGTCCACCCTGTTGTTCTTTCCCGGGATAACCCCACAGTCCACACTGTTGTTCTTTCCCGGGATAACCCCACAGTCCACCCTGTTGTTCTTTCCCGGGATAACCCCACAGTCCACACTGTTGTTCTTTCCCGGGATAACCCCACAGTCCACCCTGTTGTTCTTTCCCGGGATAACCCCACAGTCCACACTGTTGTTCTTTCCCGGGATAACCCCACAGTCCACACTGTTGTTCTTTCCCGGGATAACCCCACAGTCCACACTGTTGTTCTTTCCCGGGATAACCCCACAGTCCACCCTGTTGTTCTTTCCCGGGATAACCCCACAGTCCACACTGTTGTTCTTTCCCGGGATAACCCCACAGTCCACACTGTTGTTCTTTCCCGGGATAACCCCACAGTCCACCCTGTTGTTCTTTCCCGGGATAACCCCACAGTCCACACTGTTGTTCTTTCCCGGGATAACCCCACAGTCCACACTGTTGTTCTTTCCCGGGATAACCCCACAGTCCACACTGTTGTTCTTTCCCGGGATAACCCCACAGTCCACCCTGTTGTTCTTTCCCGGGATAACCCCACAGTCCACACTGTTGTTCTTTCCCGGGATAACCCCACAGTCCACCCTGTTGTTCTTTCCCGGGATAACCCCACAGTCCACACTGTTGTTCTTTCCCGGGATAACCCCACAGTCCACACTGTTGTTCTTTCCCGGGATAACCCCACAGTCCACCCTGTTGTTCTTTCCCGGGATAACCCCACAGTCCACACTGTTGTTCTTTCCCGGGATAACCCCGCACTGTTGTTCTTTCCCGGGATAACCCCACAGTCCACACTGTTGTTCTTTCCCGGGAAAACCCCACACTGTTGTTCTTTCCCGGGATAACCCCACAGTCCACACTGTTGTTCTTTCCCGGGATAACCCCGCACTGTTGTTCTTTCCCGGGATAACCCCACAGTCCACACTGTTGTTCTTTCCCGGGATAACCCCACAGTCCACACTGTTGTTCTTTCCCGGGATAACCCCGGAACTCTCTAGTTTCACTGGGAAAGGCTGACGTGGTGAATGAGGCACTGGACACAGTGCAGGAGGGGTACGATAAAGTAAAGGATACCGTAGAAGGTAATAATGCAACCACAGCTATCCCTGTTCCCTACGTTCCCAGCACCAATGACACAACAGAACAGGACAGACCACCCTTGCTAAATTTCAACAATAATAAAGAGGATCGCACGAACAACAACATCAACAATGGTAACCATGGTAACCATGTGGAATGTGGATCACCACCCCGGCTAATCTGGACCGGATCACCCCGGCTAATCACCTCCAATAAAGTGCTTATCAGCTAACAGACAACTACATGACAATCTGGAAGATTCGCCAACTTATCAATCTAGAAATATTAATTTGATTAATATGATTATTAACGACTGTAACTGACCAGCATAAAGCTATTTCGCGTAATCTTTTAGCATGGCACTTTCTTGCTCTTCTTGTTATACATACAAGTCATGTGACCTTTATAATTAGGGCATAAAACAGTTTCTAGATTGATAAAGTGCGTGTTCAAAAAACAACATGATACTTGTGATTCTTTTCTATTCGGATAATCGTCCTTATAAAATGCACGTGTGCGCGCGTCCTTGCTATCCGTTCTTTCTCTACCATCTTTATTGCTGATCTGATCATGTTCTTTGTCTGGATAATTAATTGACTGATTATAAACGCTGCTGCATCACTTATATTCTGCTAAAAATTGCATTTCAAAAAATGTTGGTTTGGAGTATAATGCGTCGTGCATGTTTTTCAAGCCTGGTTTTCAAAAACACCAAAACTTACAACATTGCCACGCTAAGAGGTAAAATTCACCAGATTTGGTTGTACTGGATGTTCCGTACCCTGGCATAATTCCAGAAGAAGCTGTAGGTTACAACATCCACACTAACCGAGGTGAAGGCCACAAAAGTTGGATCATTCCAAAACTTTTATAAATTTTGTAATTAAAGTTGTGCTATTTAATGTCAGGAAATATGTATGCATGGCTGCTACCTTGCCAATAACAGCTGCACTTGATTTTCTTTCGTCGTCTCTGCTTCATGTCTATATTGTGAGCTGCTATGTAAAATGTTAATGTTATTTTTTACATTTTAGGTATATCAATAATCCTGGAGGGGGTTGTTTTTATCAATAATCATCAATTCATCACTTACTCGTCATTCTGATGATAGCAGCAACAGGCCAAATGAGAATCCCCAACATCCATATATCTATGTTCTATTATTAAGCGCTCGGTTAGGTAGCTAGCTTGTAGTTATTATTCCACCGTCAGTAAAAGAAGCACGTACATACCGCGCGTGCACGTACTGCACGCTACTCCAACAAACTTTCCCCCACAGGAGTGTCAAACACGCAGGACAACAACAACAAGGCAGGTGTGTACTGTTGGGAGTGCACTATTGCCAAATCCATGGATAATAGAATCACGAGCATGTGGGACGAGGTTGATAAAGAAGCGGTACAAGGTTAGATAATAACTCACAGCACCTCAGTTACCTTCTACAGTTAATATTTCCTAGCAGTAATAGCTTAGCTAACGGTTCCACCCTGTTCAATAGATTTGCTTCTTATTTTATATATTTTAAATAAGTATTAAGTTTACTGGAATAAGCCTATATATTTGTTACTTGGATGTTATAATAGCCTGTCTCGTCTAGGAAACCAGTGCAAGGCCCACCAGTGTCAGAACGGGCAGGACTGGTGCCTGGTAACTTATTACCGGATAAGAGGGGAGGGCAGCGTGACGGAGAGCAAGAAGGAGCGACATGAATGTGGCAGCAGGAATGATAGGGGTGAGTCAATCTTAACACTAAAAACGTGAAGTAATTGCTAATGACAGTTGATGAGGATGGAGCATCATATTTTCCTTGTTTATTATACATCTTGAACGTGTTTCAGATCGAGACGCACAATGCCAAGGATTACTGGCAGAAGATAAAGGTCACAATAGTATCGTTCCTAGGACATGCAAGACAGAGAGATCTGGAAGTAACTCCGTACATTCATTTTACTCGGTCTCCGTATCTGCCCTTCTCTCCCTTGTAGCCCTCGTGCTACTCCACTGACGTGCGCACACGTGGCTTTTATACATCATATCATATTAACAGAAGTGTGGCGGTTATTTGCATGTTCCAGATTTTGACAGAATAAACTCGTTGATTCAGTTGAGAGCAGGAAGCTTTGTTGAGCGGTTCGTGGAAAAACCGTGTAATTTATTTGATAGGAACCCTAAAGTTGGGCTGCTGCTGGCAGCGCTAGCGACTTGTGCGAGCTGGTTCAGTTGAGTTAACTTGATAATATACTGGGTTTCTGGCTGTTCAAACGGAAAGTGCATGGTAATTATTGATAAATTGGCCAATCGTGACAGACTTTTCAGATAGTGTATAAATTTAATCCTCATCAGAGCCGTTGATTGTTTATTCTGTAGGAATATTCGAAAATTTTTCCATTTTCCGTGATCTTGAAAATTTCTTATCTCATATAAACGTTGATTTTTATAAACAAATGATATATTTTATTTAGCTTTTATTAAATCAGTTTTTAAATTAATTAGGCGTAAAAAAAGAGCTTTGCTGAAATTTTCACTTACACTTACAGCTGAAGTATTTGAAGTGCACTTAATAGTTATGGTGTGTTAGCAATATGTTTTAAATACATTCTGATGGTGGTTACAAAATATGTATTATACGTTTGCTACATAGTACCCATCTAGTTTTAAAAGGCCTGTTAATGTTTACCATCGAATTTTTCCAATCATTTAGTTTTACTTTAGAGTCTGATTCATCGTTAACTTTCGTTAATTCTTTTTATATAAACAACACTGCATTTATGATCCAGCAAAGATCACAGCATTAATATAATATGATTTGGTATTTTTTGGACTCTATTTCATATTTCATTTTAAGCTACATAATGTTTTATTTCGACTAGAACTGAATTTAAACTATCCTATACATGTGCACCTAGCCATGAGTCTACGCGTACTGCGTGACGCGCTTGTTTCACAATAACGGTGTCGTCACAGTGGCGTAACGAAAGGCCCTGCTGACCCCGCTGTGCAGGGGGGGCGCCGTCTTAGGGGGCGCCAAATCGTCGTTTGAATGTGGGACAATTTCGAAAACTTAACTAAAGTACTAGTTGTCATACGTTGTATGACCCGCCGCGCACGAAGTGCGCGGCTCCCCCTGTATCGTCGAAGACGATACTATAGTGAAGCGACAGTGGGGGTCACCACGTGATACAAAGGAATAACAAGCAAATGACGACAGTATAACTTGACAGTATGGCAGTGCTGAGTGCAGTGTGGCAACACGAGGTACAGTGATCAGCAGGCAGCAGCACACTCGCATCGCTCGATTTTACAATCCAATAATAAAATTGTATAATATAACTCAGCGCGCGGCTCCTGTAGCGTATACGTCACTTTTGTCCAATTGCAAATTGGTAGTTGGCGTACACGTGTTTTTTCCGAGGCCACAATTGGTTCTAAACGATAACGTTAATGCTGGTCACGCGCACACCAACTTCCAATGAGCATCCGAACTTTTTTCAGGGCGATGGAGGTCGTAATTCACTCGAATAGCCCGAATAGAGATTAGGCGGAATGACAGGCTGAGCGCGGCCCAGTAAGCGCCGCACACAGGGATTGGCGTGCCAGGTACTTGTCGTACGTTGTATGACCCGCCTGTATCGTAGAAACTCTACGATATTCACTATAGTGAAGCGACAGTAGGGGTCACCACGTGATACTACCAGGTACAAGGTAGCATTTGCATTAATATTATATATATTCACCTAACCATTTGATTCACGATGTCACTCCTTCGCAGCTCGGTGAGGCACACTAGTGGTGCATCTCGCCGATCTACCGAAGTTAGAAGATTGGTTGCGAGAAGAATTATTTGATGCGCGGCGCGACCCAGTATTGATTCACGATGTCAATCCTTCGCAGCTCGGTGAGGCACAGTGGTGCATCTCGCCGATCTACCGAAGTTAGAAGATTGGTTGCGAGAAGCATTATTTGATGCGCGCGCGACCCAGTAGTGCATCGCGCTACAAGACCCAGTAGTGCATCGCGCTACAACCTAACCATGTGCTTTCGCGCCACTTCGGGCGCGCTTCGGGCGCGCTTTTTTACAAGTCAAGAAAAGCACCTATCCACGAACCCCGATGGGAAGGTTCGTGCGCGCGTGCGCAGTGCTGACAACAGCGTCTATGTAGCGCAGGTATTCTTGGCACTTTCCCCTACCAGTATGCAGTAACCACTTTTCAGGTTTCTATAGTGCATACTAGTGTATGGGGTTAATTAGGTACAAACTACAGTACAGCTGTACTTACACCTACATTCACAAGCATGCAAGCTCACCTGGTCCAATGAGCGGGAAACGGAGGACAAGGTCGGGTGACGTCATAGTCACGTGACGTCATAGGCTCATAATCACGTGACCTCAGACCCAATCAATGATCAACTAAGTTCAGGCATGGTCAGCCCCCTGTCACCCGATCTTGAGGTGACGTACAACACCTCGTTTACGCAATCAATGTCTGAAAGGCGACACACGTCGCATATGCATGAGGACAAAAGCGCGCGAGCGTGCTAAATCACTCTACAGTTGATCTTCGAGATTGTTCTAAAAGGGCCCCCGACAGTTGAAACCAACTTCCATCGATGTATTTTCGGACGTTGATTCCGAATAACCCCCCATGACATAGAGTTAAAATGCTCCCCTGACGAGATATTGGCGAAAAACTGTCTCGATCACGTGATATGACCGTATAAGGAAGTTAGTCTAATTTCTCGTTAGAGTTAGGGTTTCAGCTATGAGTTTGTTAAGGATTGGGTTAGGGTTAGGGTTGTGATCAGATAAGAGGGTTAAGATTTCGAATAGTCGTTCAGGGCCAGCTAGAGAACGGGTTAAAGAAGTCACGTGACAGTCGAGTGTAGAGTGATTAATCATCATCCAAAAGCGCGGGTAATTTCGACACCACTGTAGAGTGGTGCCAAAATCTTTAGGTGGGTTGATGGCTAGAGTCCTTTTTACCGCCGTGAGGCGGGCGCGCGCTACTGCAAGCGCAAGGGCTCTGGATAGAGCAATTATATATATATACAATTATATATATACTAGTGTAACCCGGCCTACGGCCGGGATTTCACTGCCGCAGTTAAAAAGGGTAGGAGTAATTACCCGCTGAGTCAAAACCCGCATTAGGTGACCCAATAGTTTCTTAAACAATAATCTCATAATCAGTTATTTCTTGTGGATAATTAAGTCATTATTAGCCATGAGGCACCACACTCCATGATCATAAGGTCTGAACACCGAGTATTACACCTCATCACTCCCGTCTTGAACCGCTTTCTATTTTTATTTAAATCGTTATAGAAATTAACCCTTGTTAACTCCGCACCACACCCGCATATTATATTTGAAAACACGCATAAAATTGTCGTATGAACTCTCTCTCTCTCTCTCTCTCTCTCTGCAGTCCAAACAGACCCCAAACACTAACAGTCCCCCCCTCCCCTAATAAGCTTAAGGTATAACATTACAGCGGATCTTCCGGGCTAATCCAATTATGACGCAGCTATAACATATTACACAGTAATGAGAGAGAGAGAGAGAGCAAGCCCCGTAACTCTTGCCGTTCTGCTCACGCAATTTTATGTAACATTTGTGGTACAAAACCATCAATTAAACCACTTACCATCGGCCGATTTTTAAAAAAATTTCCTATGGGCTTCATCAGAGTTTTGTCGACACTATACCGAAAAAATCAGTCCCGTAACTCTTACCGTTTTTTTTTGTATAACCGACCGGAAATTACACACGGACAGACAGACAGACAGACACACACACACACACACACACACATTCTGGTGTTATTAAGGTGATATGGAAAACCTTCGAGTCTATAACCATTAAAATGTTTTTCACAGTTACCACATTAATATAAATAAGGGGTGCACGATAAAATAAACTTACTCGGATTTTTAAAATTTTTGTACCACTGTTTTCTAGAGACTGTGAGAATTTTCACAATATCAAATTTGTTTTACCTTTTTGGAAAGATCAGTGAGTTTCGCCTTGTCATATAATACGTTGTATGACCCGCCGCGCACGAGTGCGCGGCTCCCCTGTATCGTCGAAACTCTATAGTGAAGCGACAGTGGGGGTCACCACGTGATACAAGTTTCGCCTAGGTACGTGCCATATTTGATGCTGCGCGGCTTTTGGAGCAAAAATAGCTGTAAAAGTCGCGTAATTTGACCAAATTCATTGATTTTTGTCGTATTATTCGGATATATCTTCGGTTTCTTGAATGTTCACCCAACCATGTGTGCTTTCTCGCCGCTGAGGGCGCGCTTGTGAGGCAGGCGTGCGCTACTGCAAGCGCAAGGGCTCTGGATAGAGCAACCTTGAATGAGATCATTCTGAAAATTGGCGACGACCTTCCAATGGCTTTTACTAATTCGCTCGCCCAAAAATTTCACGTGACTTTAGTATTTATTATGGTTTTGCAGCCGTACAAAACGGTTTTACAGAAACCCTCATCCCATTCCTAACCCTAACCAAACCCCGAAGCTAACCGTAACCCTTACCACAACCCTAACCCTAACCCGAGCCCTAAACAATCAAATTCGTATTTTACTAGCCTGTCACGTGACCAAAACGGCCTTTTTTGCCCTTAACTCTCCAGGGAAGCATTTTAACCCTTTGGTGGAGTTCGCCGCTTCGACGCGCCGCGCGAACTAGCATTCTTGCTTCGCATCGTCGACGATCGTTGCTCTGCTTCGCAGAGCAACGATCTCGACGGATTGACATCGTCAATCAATTTAACCCTACGTCATGGGGGGTGATTCGGAATCAGCGTCCAAAAATACACCGATTCCAATACCTTTCATGCCCAAAGGGCCTTTTCACAAGAATTTTCTTAAAATTTGGGCGAGCGATTTAGTAGGAGCGCCTTCCAATAGGGCTTTCACAACTGTCCGAAAAATTTTGTGGACATCGGAGTTGATATAGTGATCAAAATGGGGCAAAATACGCTGCTTTTAGCTGTAAAATAATGTCTGATGGTTGAATATGCTTTAAATTTTTCGGACACTTTCTTTGTAAGTCTATGAATAACTTTACCAATTTTTGTTGCAATCGGAGGTCGGGAAGGATACTCAATATAATTATTGACTATTGTGAATGGCACCTTTAATAGAATTAGGGACTCTGTACCGAAGGAACTCCATAAAGACCTCTACCACACACTATTTGAATCCCACCTTACATATTGTACCTCAGTTTGGGGTGATGCAGCACTCTTTAGGACAGCTAGTGTCTAGCTGTCTCAGAAGCACTGCGTACGGGTCCTCTTTTGTGATAAAGAGGCATACCTAAACAAGTTCCTATTTCCTAACATGTGCAAGAACATATATATATATATATATATATAACTCTAAAACTCTGGTCACAAGAGCAACTGCCTAAACGTGCTGAAGTGAAAACAAATAAATAAAATATACTAGCAGTCCCTAATACTCGTAATAAATAGATTCATTCAATGTCATAAAACTCTTAACCATACACGTGACCAGTAAAATAATTTAATTGGTCTATAGACTACTGTATAAAATTCTCAATATAACATAAACTTTATTAACAATAATAAATTAGTTAAAATCACACCAACCTTTGGCGTGTATGAATGAGTAAACAACCTCTATTTGTCGTAAAATATCTTTCATAATATAGTATATGCTATAATATTAAAACTGTAATATAAGTTGCTTAATGTTTGGCCGGATGACAACTAACTAAAAGAGAAATATAAACTTGATTACATAATAATTAATTCGGCTGAACCAACACATAGCAAGAGCCACATTAACGTTGGGGCCGTCTGTCATGATATAAAACCAAATAAAAGGAACAGCATGAGTGAGCTTCTCAAAAGACAGCTGGATGGGGCTGACTCACATTCCTATCTAGATGAAGTGTTAACAAAAAGCAGCACACAAAAAGCATTCATTAGAAGAGTCGAATTTCTTTGGGGACAAAATGATGCTCTCCAGGATTTATTCAACTAAACTAGAAAGATCATAAAATAAAGACTCTGCAAACATCTCAGAGAAATAATACCACCGAAAAGATTAAAGACTAAAGAGGGAGGATCCTGGACCCCGAAATCCACCACTTTTCTGTACTTTCAGAGGTACCAATGTGGCAGGAAACCAGGGCTCATGCTGCCGCTGAGCTAAAGCAGTAGAGGGGATGGCGGCTTCTCTAGGATCTAACACGTCCTGAAGCAGACCAACACTATGTCCCAACGCACTGGTGTTGGGATGTCTGCCCCCGGTGCCTGTCCGGGTCAATAAAGCAGTCAAGCATCATGTATGTTATGTTGAGCATTCTCAACCAACAAATGTGGGAACTCCCACAAAACACCAAAACAGATCTAAAGAGACACTTAACAACATTGGAAAAATAGACTGCAATTTGTTTATATAATTTATAAAGCGTATATTATTGCCCACGTTAAGGGGCCTGTTAATAATTTATTAAATTATTAGCTATTTTAGATTTAATAATAAAATAATAATCTCAAAAGACACCCATTCCACAACATCTTAAACCAGGGCTATGGTGGAAACTCAATGTTAATATCATGGAGTACAGACTTCCGGAGTTCTTTGATTTAGCGGTTGAAATAACAAGGGATGCAGAAGAATTCCTTCAAACAGAGATAAAACTGTAAACATGTTATATTCCAACTACTACACCATCCCTATGATTAGTGAGCCGGGTTCAATGTTAGACCGGACGAAGCATGTATATCGTGAGCCGGGTTAATCAAGACCGGACGAAAAAATGGCTAAATCTCCACAATGGATAATACTGCAGAGGTGATATTATATTACAGTTAAATTCTGTTACCTGGACTAAACTTAACAGTTTAAATATTATAGCATATACTATAATACTACGAAAGATATTTTATAGGTTGTTTAATCATTCTTACTCACCAAAGGTTGGTTTGTTTTTAACTAATTTATTATTGTTAATAAAGTTTATATTGAGAATTTTATACAGTAGTCTATCTAGACCAATTAAATTATTTTACTGGTCACGTGTATAGTATGGTTAAGAGTTGTATGACATTGAATGAATCTATTCATTACGAGTATTAAGGACTGCTAGTATATTTTATTTATTTGTTTTCACTTCTGCACGTTTAGGCAGTTGCTCTTGTGACCAGAGTTTTAGAGTTATATATATATATATATGTTCTTGCACATGTTAGGAAATAGGAACTTGTTTAGGTATGCCTCTTTATCACAAAAGAGGACCCGTACACAGTGCTTCTGAGACAGCCAGATACTTGCTGTCCTAAAGAGTGCTGCATCACCCCAAACTGAGGTACAATATGTAAGGTGGGATTCAAATAGTGTGTGGTAGAGGTCTTTATGGAGTTCCTTCGGTACAGAGTCCCTAATTCTATTAAAGGTGCCGTTCACAATAGTCAATACTGAGTTAACATAATATTGTCATGTGCAATTCCGTGTTATTTGCTGATTTTATATTTATATATTGGTACAGCATAGCATATACATAGCATCCCAGCAATTTTACTATCGAAATGTGTCATTTTGGTTCACTGTACGAAACATACTTTACTGTACATGCCTTTCTTTTAAGCAGTGGATTATAACTTGTTTAAAGATATGTTTGATCCAGTAACAGTACAATGTTATGAAGGATGACAAGGTTGTATCCTCAATAATTTGATGTTGAAAATGTTATGGAACGAATACGAAGCATCCAGCAAAATCTCTGGCAAACAAAACTATTCATAAATCATGGTAAATTTAAACTCTAGTACAAATTCTTTATCATATATTTATCTACATCATGGCTTTAAAATTAGACATTCTGCACTCTTGAACTATCTTTGAAATTGAAAAAAGTTTCACAAAACACTGAAAGATTATTCAATAAACAATATACATCCTTGCAGAAAAAGAAGCAATTACCAAGCTTCAAGATGATATCAAGGGGCCTACAAATAAAGTGAACAAATCTGCTTGGGTTATCAACCATAAGTGGCGTTCTCTTAGAACAAAGAAGGCAAATCCAAAGTAAGCAATGTGCTCAGCTGTGAAATAAGTTAATATATAGTACTATGTCGTAGTCTCATTACTGGTTGAACAAGTAGAGAACTCGAACATTGGATAAACTTACAGTGTGTCATTACAACTACTTATTCCCTCGCCTATGATATGAGCGTTAATGTTAACCAAGTACATATTATGGTAGCCGATTTATCAGGGTACTAATTGTTACATTCTCTGAAAACTGCCGGCCTCAGTAATTCAGACTGAAGAAAAAGTTTTGTATAAAAGATATACGTATAATTTTGAAAGACTATTTACAAAAGTTAAGAGTTTTAGCTCTTCATCCACAGTGTGTGTAACTAATATATAGTCAATAAATGTTTAACACGATTATAGAAATAAATCTTACGGTCACGTTAAGGAATTTTATCAAAATTTTATTTATTGCATATTTCAAAAGTAATTTGTACTACTCATTTAGCATTGCTTTTACCAAATTTTAGCAGGTATATAAAATTTCAAGTATAGGAATATGTTCTTACAGAGGTAGGAAAAAATTAGGTATGTCGTTTTCCAAAATAGGACCTACAGTGCTTCTGAAAGCCAGAATCAGCTGTCCTCAAAGTTTTTGCAATCACCAAATGAGATGACAATATGGTTAGGTATCAATATTTGGAAGTTTTTTTCCTCGGTACAGGCCTAATTTATAGCTACAATACATTATAATAACAATTATTTGGATCCGTGTATGGTGATTATTATTTTTAATGGTACAAATGATAAAAAAATTTAATCGAAATGTTCTATTGCACTGTGAACTATTTACGTACATGCCTAAATGTTAACTAGTAATAGACATGTTTATCAGTAACCAGTGTACAAGGGTTATGGGGCATTTTCTAATATTAGATTCCCAAAAGTGTCAACTTTCATCAAGCACCACAAAACTTGAAAAAACATCATATCATGGAAATTTTTGAGTCAAATTCTTTTAAAATCACACAGGCTGAAGATGACATCTCAGATCTGAAATATCTTGAAAAGTTAAATTTTGCACAACCTGAAGTATCAAAAAATTAATCTTCAGGAAGACAAACAAGTTCAAGTAATAAGGGGCACCAATATAGTCATTTTTTTCAAAATATTTTTTTTGTACATCTTCAACCCAGCAATTTCGATCATTTTGTGTTAGGAACTTGCCTAGACTGTCTACTATAACATGGTGGAGGTTTCATCTAAATCGGAATTTCAGACGAGGTTAAAACCCATGGTTTATATCAGGCAGTCGGAAAATTGCCAAAAAATGACAAAATTATGTGCTTTACCCTATCTATTTATTTTGATAATTATTTGTAAACATATAATCTCAGGGAACTGTGCGATGTTGACAAGTATAGTCAATCACTTGATAAGTCTCGTTTTTACGATGCTCGAGATAAGATTGGTGCAGAGAGTGAAAAATATGCTGCATTCTTAAAATACCTACGAGATAAGTCAAGTTTGGTAGCTGTTATATTTCTGACAGAAGGAACAAAAAGACGTCAGCCAGAAGTAATAACTTTGAGTTAAAAAATGCTTGGTATTTTAATATCTCAATTATCATGATCATTATTTCTGAAAATGTGTCCAGCAGGAAGGTTTTGATATTCTGTTGGTATTTAATTAAGATGCACAATGCCTTTGTTTTAAATACCAATATCTATTGCAGGAGCTTTCAGAACTTATTCATTCCCTGTTTTCTGCTTTATTTGGCTTTGCTATCCTGCCTGACGACGAGAAAAGGATTGTAAGAGTGATTGGAGATATTGCCAAGATACTCATTGCTGAATATCAGGGAGCTATATCTTCTTTCTTTCATCATCAGACAGCACTGTCATTATCATTCAGGTAAGTTGAATCCGTTAGATTTATGGTTGCTCTTCCTAATAGCTTGTCTCAGGATTGTTGTGTGATTTCTCTTAATATTACGTGGTTACAGATAATGGTATGTTTTTAAGTACACATTTTTGGTAAATGCTGACTGGATTATTTCAAGGTTGTACATAGAGTGGAGCTCCAATACACGAGTGTACATGGGCGAACTAATGAGTGATATTGTGATGAATGTTATGGCAGAACCAGAGTTTCTTATTGTTGATGTTAGCAACTATTTATATTTTACTATGAGGATAGTTATTAGGTATGCTTCTAAAATCATTACTTTTGTTAAGCAGTTGTTGGAAGCAAAACTTTAGCCCAAAGTCGTCTCATAATATTATCATATTTCCAGGAGACCAAATATCTAGAACGACATCCTAATGCTATAAACTCCAGAGCTAAGGTAAGATATCATCCTAATACTATAAACTCCAGAGCTAAGGTAAGATGTCATCCTAATACTATAAACTCCAGAGCTAAAGTAAGATATCATCATAATGCTAGTATAAACTCCAGAGCTAAGGTAAGATGTCATCCTAATGCTATAAACTCCAGAGCTAAGGTAAGATGTCATTCTGAGATACCAATACTAAATCATCATGTTTAAGTGTACCAATATCCCCCCCTCTGTAACCAGTAACTTCAGGTAGATTATTACCGGAAGAGAATAGCAACTCATGTGATAAGCATGATTACACAGATAAGGAGACACTTGCACTCCTTCCCCCCTTATCTACGCTGGCTGGGCGTCTCCATCGTTCAGTACTTCCAGATCTACCGCGGAGCTACTCAAGATGATGTGAGTACTTTTTAGTGGTGACGTTATGTCATGTGATGTGAGTACTGACTTACTTTTTAGTGATGACGTAATGTCACAAAATATTGTCTATATAGTATATATACCCTAAATTATGTATAACCTTTAAGACAATAGATATATAACTAGCTTCCTCCTTAAATTTAGTTAACTATAATCTACTTTCACACAGATTAACATATTTCTGGGAGAGCTGTTCTTTACCCGGATGCTGTTCTACCCTTTCCTGCAACCGCAGATATACCTATCTAGCAAAATCGAGGTAAGCTTCTCAGTTTGATTAAACCACTAACAGTTTCTTTTACAAAGATTATTATAGGAAAGATAAGAACAACTGACTGTTCTGGTACTACTGATTATTCTACACTCGTTACATATGAACCCCAGTCCACCCAGGTTTCAGATCTAGGCCGGCACAACCTACTTCAAGTAACGTACACATTCCGAGAGGCGTTCCTCACGGAACTAGGAGTTCCTTCCTCTTCTGCTAGACAGAAATACTCCTCAGTCCTTCCTTTTATCGGCAACCATGTTAGTCCTGTTACTTCTTATATGCTACATCCTGTTACAGTTACCATGGTTACATATCAACCCTTTCAGTTACCATGGTTACATATCAACCCTTACAGTTACCATGGTTACATATCAACCCTTACAGTTACCATGGTTACATATCAACCCTTACAGTTACCATGGTTACATATCAACCCTTACAGTTACCATGGTTACATATCAACCCTTACAGTTACCATGGTTACATATCAACCCTTACAGTTACCATGGTTACATATCAACCCTTACTTTTTACAATGGTTACATATCAACCCTTACTTTTTACAATGGTTACATATCAACCCTTACTTTTTACAATGGTTACATATCAACCCTTACAGTTACCATGGTTACAAATCAACTGTTACAGTTACTATGGTTACATATCAACCCTTACAGTTACCATGGTTACATATCAACCCTTACAGTTACCATGGTTACATATCAACCCTTACTTTTTACAATGGTTACATATCAACCCTTACTTTTTACAATGGTTACATATCAACCCTTACTTTTTACAATGGTTACATATCAACCCTTACAGTTACCATGGTTACATATCAACTGTTACAGTTACTATGGTTACATATCAACCCTTACAGTTACCATGGTTACATATCAACCCTTACAGTTACCATGGTTACATATCAACCCTTACTTTTTACAATGGTTACATATCAACCCTTACTTTTTACAATGGTTACATATCAACCCTTACTTTTTACAATGGTTACATATCAACCCTTACAGTTACCATGGTTACATATCAACCCTTACAGTTACCATGGTTACATATAAACTGTTACAGTTACCATGGTTACATATCAACCCTTACAGTTACCATGGTTACAAATCAACTGTTACAGTTACCATGGTTACATATCAACCCTTACTTTTTACAATGGTTACATATCAACCCTTACTTTTTACAATGGTTACATATCAACCCTTACAGTTACCATGGTTACATATCAACCCTTACTTTTTAAGACTACATACACACTACACAGCAGTTATTTTATCTTTAAAATCTAATGATATGATTGGTTTTGTTTTGGTGCTAAGTAGATTTAACTATTGAATTATCAATACTGTGTTGTGTAATATGAATTTCTCTCAGAGTTCGGAGATGGTGTTACTGTTAGAAGAGTTGGTGGATGTTCCCTACAGTTCCACAGTTATACCGACAATAGACATTCCCGTCCAGAGAAGTGCTGTACTTATCACTGAGCGGGACCTCCGCTACATTGTGAGTGTGCTAAAATTGGGGCCTTCGTGTGGGGCAAGGTGGGACATGGGGTGGTAGCCTTAAAATACTTGATATTATCACACAGTATTCCACAAATGTGGGACTTACTACAGATGATAAATAAACAGTTCTGTAAATATTATAAATACATGTATTTCCCAGATAAATCTGCTAATGGAGGTATTAGCAAGTGGTAAGTTTCAACCGGAGGAGAAGGAGATGTTAGCTACAGCCTTGTCTCTCTTACCTGTGGAGCCCTGTAGTCGACTCAGCGCTAAGAAACCTGGCAGGAAGATAAGTCAGGCCAGTCAAGGAGACAAGAACACTAAAAGGTAGGGAGAGTTTTGTGGAGTGCCCAACAGGGGGAGGGGCGCCCACTGGCCCAACATGGCCCATGGGGGAGGATGACCTCAACAGGGGGGGGGGGGGGTGGGAGAGAGGGGGAGCTGGGGAGGGGTGACTCAAAAGGGAGGGGGCCAGGGGAGAGAGGGGGAGCTGGGGAGGATGACCTCAACAGGGAGGGGCCGGGGGTGGGAGAGCCTGTCAATTGGTTCCTTTGTTAAGGTGACACTGAACCCGATTATCTATATAAGTGTACTAGGCTCGATACCAGATATATTATAAACTGGCAAGTAAGGAATAGTTAATAGTTCTATGTTTAGGAAATCTATTGCGGAACGTATTCTTTGCCCTTTGGCATGGCGCCGAAAATTCTGTTATTCTCTGGGTTAATCGCATATTACTATTGTGTTGTAATCAATTAAGATCAATTAAGATATTATATTTATCAGGAACCTCATTATAATCATTATTTATAAATAATTTACTATCTTTTGATTAGAGCCGCCATTCTTTAGGTTATTGTTATTGATCAACAATATTGTAGATCCCACTTACAGAGGCAGTCTATTTATCAAGAAACAACAATGAAGCTAATTGTGGCTATTCTTTATAAAGGCAGACAATATTCGATTATAGGTCCATATTAAATATTATCAGCTTTACTTTCCACCAGAATATCCGAAAAACATGTTTCGGCTGAACTCTACTCTGCAAAGAGTTGTTTAGTTTTAGCAGAATTTTGAATATTTTGTAAGTTTTTCCAGTTTTCCAGTTACATGCTGAGAATAATCATACAAACTAAACAAATGCCTAGCAGTGAATATTGCTTATATATACGTAGTGCTATAACATAATATTATTTATTCCCAGTCCTTAAAAAAATAAATGGTATATTTTTGGATTGCTTTGAATTTTGATGCAGCTCGATTTTATTTTAGGTTTCATTGGCAAGTGTCATATTTTGTTATTAGTTTTTGAGATCAGCATAATACAAACTGTTCATTTTCAACTATATATTGGTATTTCAAAGATTAGTTTGCCTCATATTAAGTAAGATTCGCATGATTAAATATATCCCCCCTACAGGATGATAGCATTACTCCTGTTTATAAGCTTGCTTCAGTTGGGTAGCTCCTGTATGTGTGGGTCACCTGACGACCCCAAACTGTTCTGCGATAACCCTGAATGGAATGCAGTACAGATAAAGATCACGGAAGTAACCAAGTCTGTCCCGTCCAGATGGTCAATATATGAAGATATAGTTAATGGTATCGACATGCCGGAGAAGAGAGAACTGCCAACTGAATGGATCACAACAACACCTGGGATCTGGGGTGCAGTGGAAGAAGTCTGGATGAACGAGGAGAAGGAGGTACTGGCAGTAGTTGAGAAAGTTTGGGGTCTGGGAAGTGCGAAATTGGGACAGGAAATAAGGGTGAGTAGCTGGAACTATGAGTCAATGTGTGGAGTAGCGGGGGAACTGAATAAGGGCGTAACTGCAGTTATCTGGGTAAAACAGGACTCTGAGCAGATCAGCATGTCACTCTGTGATATGAACCGGTTTATGTGGATCGGAGACTCTACCCCGGAGAAGTATGTGGACGATCTCAACGCTATGACTTGTTGAACCTGATTAATACAGATGGGCTGATGGAAGTATGATCGGGACAAAATATTTAGAGTATATTTCATGGTATAGAGTATACCCATCAGTATCCAGATCTTTTAATTGAGACTATCATTTAATCTTAAACTTCTTGTAATCACACACCTGTTTTATTTTGAAAGAATTACTACATTATTGTGTTATCGGTGCTAAATGTTACCAAATTCAATCATCTCGTAACGTTCTCTGATATAAGAAATAAGTCCCAATGAAGACACAATTTTTCATAAAATGTTTAATCAAACATACATTTAAATCAATTGACTATTCCTTAAATCATTGTCCTCGCTACATAATTACTACCCATAACTATAGGGAACCCACTCTTCTCTTCGTATCGTATCTGCAGTTACTTCAAGTTGCGAACCCACTCTTCAAAAAGCTCGTTGTTGTCCAGACCGACATTTGCTTTTTCCATCGCATCTTCTATCCATTCCAGGTAGTTGTGCACATCAGTGAACATGTTGTAGGATACTCCCAAGCGAATAGACTGACCCCAGGATACCAGCCCGACTTGAGTGAAACTGTCATGAACCTTCACAAACAGAGGTCCTCCTGAGTCTCCGTAGTAGCCAGAGGAAATACTTGCTGGGTCAATAGCACAGACCTGGCCTACTAGAACATAGTCTATTGTTGTTGTTGTTCTCCAGTGCTCGAAGCAGGCCTTCTGGTCAGCTATCTCATATTCTATCTCTTGGAGGATGTCTGACATTTCATAGTTCTCATCACTGCCCCATCCAATAAGAGTCACAGCTGTTCCTTCTTTATAGAGAGCATCGTCCCTGAGCCAGAGAAATAGTTTCAACCACACCTTTCTTTATTTCCACCTCCTCCTTTAGGACAATCAGCGCCACATCGTAATTCAGCACCCCTTCATTATATTTCTGGTGTGCAATGATTTGTGATATCTCCATAACCTGTTCGTCTCTATCAGCATGATTGGTGGAGTGATCCCCCACCACTATCCTTGCTGTATCCAGTGAAATGGGGGAGTCATCTGAATTAACCACACAGTGAGCAGCAGTCAGAATGATACCGGGGCTGATGAGGGTGCCTCCACACCAGTGTCCACCTTCTATTATCAGTCGTGCCATGAAGGGGTATTCGTTCTTCTCAGCATCATCTCCGTTGACAATTCGTAGCTTAGCCTCGGCTGTGTAGTAGAGACCGAGTAACGCTAGTATCAGATGTGAAACTGTCATATTACACACCTGTCAAATTATCAATTAGAGAAAATACAAGATGTCCAAAAAAAGGTGACCCAGTTATTTTTGTTAGTTACTAGCCTTACTTAACAACTAAACATCTCACAAGCTATGATCAAGAAAAATCAGGAACCCAGTCTTTCAGTTTTTATAAAATAGAGGATACTTATGGAGTTGCTGATGATGTTACCGTTTATATAATGCATTTTATTGCGGGGATAAGCGTCTGGATACATTCAGACTGAATTTAGCAAAACTGGTTCTGAATTCTAAGCAATGAATAACATCTAATTAGGACATCTAAGGGGCTCAAAACTTGAGAATTTTCGGATATATCAACGTCATTTCTGAATGTGCGCTAGATAGAAGTGATAAGAACCAAACAAAATAAAGGTCCCCTATTTTACTATGAATAACTGAGACTCAAGTAGATCTGAAGAGTTGGCTGGTTAGTGCGTCTATTTATTCCCTGTGTGAGACCACGTGATGCCCATATAAGGAGGTGTGAGACCACGTGATGCCCATATAAGGAGAAGAAGGTGTGAGGGATGGTACTCAGCACGTGTCAGCTCACAGATAATACTTACTGTCTGGCTCAATAATCCTGGACTGTTCAACTATTTGACTCTGAAAGACTTTACTTTCTGATCATTGTTCTGGAAGCTCCCTCAGCTGATGCAATCAAATAGAAGAATAGCCTGTGTTATTGTGACTAAGAGAGGTTAGCTATAGTCGCTCAGCCATGAGCTGAATTCTTTGTTTTATAGGTACAGATGGTGTTCCTAGAGTAGTCGCTCGGCCATGAGCTGTAGTCGCTCAGCCATGAGCTGAATTCTTTGTTTTATAGGTACAGATGGTGTTCCTAGAGTAGTCGCTCGGCCATGAGCTGTAGTCGCTCAGCCATGAGCTGAATTCTTTGTTTTATAGGTACAGATGGTGTTCCTAGAGTAGTCGCTCGGCCATGAGCTGTAGTCGCTCAGCCATGAGCTGAATTCTTTGTTTTATAGGTACAGATGGTGTTCCTAGAGTAGTCGCTCGGCCATTAGCTGTAGTCGCTCAGCCATGAGCTGAATTCTTTGTTTTATAGGTACAGATGGTGTTCCTAGAGTAGTCGCTCAGTCATGTGGTGTTCCTACATTGTCTTTTTGGACTATAACGTACTGACAATCCTTTCTTCCTTCATTGGACAAATCCCCTCCTTCCCTTGATCAATACTCGACCACTGTTTCAGAAACCACCTACCGTGCTTCAGATGGGGACATCATCGCTTTATAGCAGTATAATTCAGTTTAATAAGAGGTCTAGCCTTGCTGAGCCTTGAGTTCACCGTTACGATTAATACGTTAATACCGAACTGTATAATAAAATAACCCTCCAATGAATAATGAGTCCCTTCTTAACACCTGCTCTTCTTGTTCACTGAGTTACCACCTTCTCCAAGTCACGGCTCTCCTGGATTTAAAAGTGAAATATATTTAATTAATGAAAATCATTGCGCTTCAACATAGATCTACAAAAGAAACAGTGATGAATATTCCCGACGATTTCATCCTTGTACCCACTTAATTACCGTAAAAATAATACTAACTTAAATTCTACGGTAACATGTTTTGGTGGAAGTCCAGAGTGACGTGTGGTATTTTAAATTCTTGGATAGTACTGAAATCATAGCACTGCGGTGCTGCAAAAGAAGTGGGCTGGGTTATTATTAAGATAGTATTTCATTATCTTGGAATTATACATAGATATTATTATTGTCGTCCGATATTAATTTTCAGTTCCCATATTGATGTTACGACCTTAGGGCTCCTAGAAAATGTTTTTGGCATAGATACGTACATGAAGAGATCTCCTCCTAATCGTTGGAGTGGCCTGCAATCTGCATCACACACATCTCCTGAACAACGTACAAAGTTTCTCCACTCCACTCGGTTCAATGCTAACTGACGTACTGCATCTCGGTTGATGTTCTCAATATAGATACAATATAACCAATCAGTAATTATAGCGGCCCCTAAAAAACCTATCATTAGCTTGTTGTGAACGAACACACTTGCAAGTTAATAGGAACTAGAGGTCCTAATTGTAGAGTAGCGAAATATTATCTTCAGAAAACAGTGGTGTTGTACAAACATTCATAATCTAATGAAATGGTGTTATAATTGTGTTATAATTATGAAATACGATAAAAAAACTGCTCGCATGTTATTGAATATCCAGTATTTGATATCAGTATTTGGTATGTTTGGTTGGTACAGTTGACGCTCCCCTTCAGTTTATTTTATTACATTGGGTTGTCTCTAGTGATGAACTTTATTGAATCTGTCGTTGAGCTATCAAAATTTACTTTCTTAGGGACTGCATTTAAACGTAGCTAAAGAGAGGGTCATTAAGTTGGCGCCTCTCTTAAAATAAATCACTAAATAATCTTTTGCTTTTGCCCCCTCGGAATCTGTATTAGGTATCTAGAAGGTATCCATCGGAGTGTATTCTCCAGAAGACCATGAGTCAGAGATCTGGCACCTCAGCTCCTGTGGTGACTTGGTGAGTGTCTAACTGACAGCTAATTGAGAAGGTTCTAGTGTATTTAGAAGTAGAACCATGGGAAGCATGACCACGGCTAACGTGATCTCCCTCGTGATAATATTCTAGTACCAAGCAGGATTAAAGGGTTGTTAACGGTAATTCTGATAATTCAAGTTCCTCTACAGTGGACGACGACCACGCGGAGTAGCCGAACACCTGGATTGATGTAATTTAGTTCGTATTATCTGATAATTTGGATTTGAGCCACCTGCCCCAGCGGGAATCAGTTATAAACGCAAGGCAGATTAGATCATTATTATCTTCCCAGTATCGTCGAGGCAGATCAAGGACAGTTTATTCTGTGGAATGTCGTTGACAAACCCTTGTTTTCTTGTTATTTGTTGTAACATACAAATATTCAATACTTCCTATTTTCTATTTGTATTTTATCTAATTTTTACAGTAAACACATCTCTAAACCATTTTCATCAGTCAAGCTGTTTAAAGTGAAACGTATAATCACTAATCAGCGTGATTAACATTGCCCTACATTACCCTACATTACCCTACATTACCCTACATTACCTACATTACCCTACATTACCCGTAACATTGCCCTACATTACCCTACATTACCCCACATTACCCGTAACATTACCCTACATTACCCGTGATTAACATTCCCCTACAGACAGGATGATAGAATTAATGGTGTTTGCCTGGTTTATCCAGTCCAGTAGCTCCTGTATGTGCTGGTCACCTGACGACCCTGCTCTGTTCTGTGATAACCCTACTTGGAATGCGGTTCAGATCAGAGTTAAGGAGATAACTATAGATATCCCTACCAGATGGTCAATATATGAAGATTTAGTGAACGGGGTGGAGCTGCAAAAGAGGGATACTGGAAATGGAGTGGCTTCTCCAACACCAACCTTCGGAACTTTACCTCTGCCTACTGGAACTTTACCTCTGCCAACTTATCTGCCATTGAGTTTTGGTCCTTGGACACTGAGTCCCCCAAGAAGTCCTATCTGGGATGAGGTCGAGGAGATCTGGTTGAACAGTGAGAAGGAGGTGGTGGCTGTGGTAGACAAAGTGTGGGGTCTAGGAGACACCAAGGTGGGGGAGGAGATGAGGATCTCCAGCTCTAACTACGAGTCTATGTGTGGGGTGGCGGACCAGCTTACTCTGGGAGTTACTGCAGTTATTTGGGTAAAACAAGACACGGACAAGATGAACTTGTCATCGTGTGCTCTCGACCGCTTCAAGTGGCTGGGAGACTCCGGCCCTGAGAAATACGTTGAGAGCCTCAATTCAAAGAATTGCCCATGACCGTGCCGGAGTGGCTACAATTACAAACTAGATTGACTGCAAACTGGAGTGACTACAGACTTATCAGAGACTTAGTACAGCGATTATTTATTGGATATTGAGAGATACAATTTGTTTCGTTTATTAGTAATTTTATTGCATGAGCTTGTCGATTATTTCTTTAGGCCAGTTCATAAAATCACATGGAATTTGAGTCTAAGTGAAAACAATATTTGACAAGTTGATTAATTCTTTCAATCATAAAATCAAACTGTTTAGTTTGTTTTGTTGTTGTTGTGCTGGGCGTTGAAACATAAAATTACAGAAATTTCAAATATGTGAATAAACATTAAAATCTCTCAGAAAATGGGAAGCACACCGAAATTTGATCAAGATCCCGAAAACTGTCGGTTTTGTATTTTAAAAAGAACATAACTTTAAATTCACACCAAGACTGCACCCAATTTCCAAGAAAAATGACATGATATCTCTCTCTCTCTCTCTCTCTCTATCTCTCTCTCCTCTCTCTCTCTCTCTCTCTCTCTCTCTCTCTCTCTCTCTCTCTCTCTCTCTCTCTCTCTCTCTCTCTCTCTCTCTCTCTCTCTCTCTCTCTCTCTCTCTCTCTCTTCTCTCTCTCTCTCTCTCTCTCTCTCTCTCTCTCTCTCTCTCTCTCTCTCTCTCTCTCTCTCTCTCTCTCTCTCCTATAGTTCAGACCTATCAATGTAACTGGAGAGGTTATGTCTCTTAACCACATCCTCCATCTTCCCCTCGTAAACCTGCACAACCTTATTATTGTACATCCTTAACCTCTCATATATCCTCACATAGAACCTGGACTGCCAGAACATATACAGGAAGTAAACCACCCCAATAACCGCTGCAACTGCCCTCTTCTCAGTGTGCAGCAGATGTCCTACTGACACTAAACAAGCTAACGCGACTATCAGATTCAGTGTCACCATCACTATGTACTTGCCAGTATTCTCTTTGAACACTGGGTCTAGTTCCCATAATTTGCGTGGTTTTTGTTCGGTTCTGACAGATATCATGGCAGCACATTTCGGACAGCGGCCTTTAGAGTTAGTGTTCATCCAGTCTATTAGACATGAGGAGTGGACTACACCGAGACCTGAAGCACATTCACAGGGCTCTATAGTGAACGAAGTGCTGTGGGAGTCCTCGCATATCCAACATACTTGAACTCTGGAGTAACGAGCCCCTGATACTACGTTATCTTTCTCCACGTGTTCCTTTGTAAGAGATCACGTGTTCCTTTGTAGAGATCTCGTGTTCTACCGACACTCCCAAATCTTTTTCTTCGCTTATTTCCATGACAGTCTCTGGTATGTTGGCTCGGTGAATGTACATGGTGCTTAAAACAAGATAACAGTCAATATCATATATAATTATTAAATCTGGACAGATTTCACATTTAGCTATCAGATAATCAGAAGAGTAAAAGATGTAAAAAATTTTTAACAAACAGTTAAAATAGTTCCTTACGACAGTGGAGCTCTACTAAAATGATGGCATGTACGGAACCCACACACAAATTACTATGGACACAGTGCAGTCTACTGACAACGCTATGTTCTTTTTTTCAGACGTCGAACATCACCGAATTTGGAAATTAAAAAGGTATTATTTCTTTAGTGATAACTTCCCACGGCCAGTTCGCACGATCCTACAGCAATAGCGATGATAACCTGACATTGAAATTGACCAGCAACTTTGATGATATTCAAAATTTCACGCCGCCGGGTCATTTTGGCAAAATTAGAATTTACTGAGCGGACAACCCTGCGGTGGTACCAAATACATTACCAATATGATAATCGTGTCTTTATAATATCTACTGTATGTACGGATAAAGTCGGATTTAATCCAATTCAAAACCAAAGCCATGCAAAAATCAGATACACTAAGTTAAAGTTACCAAATTCCAATGTTAATTGTTTCGCACGTGCCCTTTATTCTGAATTAAGAAACTACTCCCTACTTTAATTATTCTGCTTTGGTCATGTAATTTAGAGACTACAAGTCTGTCGTTTAAAAGACAATACGAATAATACCCGTTGTTTTCATCAATGCTTCCATTCGTTCATGAATAATGAATGAACTATGACGTAATAATGTGAAGAATTGACCCAGTGCTCATATAATATATAACATAATATAGAATACCCCACGTACTCTAAGTAACACGTACATGTACGTATTACCCCACGTACTCTAAATACACATCACTTGACGCTCACTTCTCACGTATATTTTGGTTTGTGTCCAAGTTTTCATTTCACTTATTGAATTAGAGCAGAGATAATAAGATAAAATTACGATCCTCAATATTCTGAATTAATGTCATCCTCCAAAAGCCGCCTTATTCATCATTACTTGAGACTACCTGTATAATATGTCAATATCTTACCTACATCTGTATTCTATACTAGCTATTACATATCTAGCTAATATATACAATACATAGAGATAAGTGCATGATAAGTTATATAATGTATATTTTTAGGAATTGAGAATGTAATCATGATCAGTATTTTATTAAACACCATGAGAAATATACTTTCTCTATAATATTGTAGTAGAATAAATGGAATTAAAGTTTAGTGTTTTTTTTAAGGGTAGATATTGTCCCTGAGTTAAGTTTTTAGACCTAAAGATCTGATCGTAACTGTTTCGTGGAGGACACCCAATAACAGAGCAGACCATAACGAATAACACCCAGATCCCCCGCCCCCGCCCGCCCCCCCCCCCCCCGGCTCCCGGCCCCTCCCCCCCTGCATGCTGTAGATTTATCTTCTGTTTAATTACCTGAATTGTGTTGCTGTAAATTACCTGAATTAACTTCTTAACCCCTCCCCTTCAGGAACAGACCCACATTACCAGACAACTTTACCTTTGAAGAGGAAGTGTTAGTGTTCCCTCTTCCTGGTGTTGCTACTGATAAAGTTAAAACGGAGGCAGAGGTTAGTGTTAGTTAGTGTTAGTGTTCCCTCTTCCTGGTGTAGCTACTGATAAAGTTAAAACGGAGGCAGAGGTTAGTGTTAGTTAGTGTTAGTGTTCCCTCTTCCTGGTGTAGCTACTGATAAAGTTAAAACGGAGGCAGAGGTTAGTGTTAGTTAGTGTTAGTGTTCCCTCTTCCTGGTGTAGCTACTGATAAAGTTAAAACGGAGGCAGAGGTTAGTGTTAGTTAGTGTTAGTGTGCCCTCTTCCTGGTGTAGCTACTGATAAAGTTAAAACGGAGGCAGAGGTTAGTGTTAGTTAGTTTTAGTGTTCCCTCTTCCTGGTGTAGCTACTGATAAAGTTAAAACGGAGGCAGAGGTTAGTGTTAGTTAGTGTTAGTGTTCCCTCTTCCTGGTGTAGCTACTGATAAAGTTAAAACGGAGGCAGAGGTTAGTGTTAGTTAGTGTTAGTGTTCCCTCTTCCTGGTGTAGCTACTGATAAAGTTAAAACGGAGGCAGAGGTTAGTGTTAGTTAGTGTTAGTGTTCCCTCTTCCTAGTTCCTGGTGTAGCTACTGATAAAGTTAAAACAGAGGCAGAGGTTAGTGTTAGTTAGTGTTAGTGTTCCTTCTTCCTGGTGTTGCTACTGATAAAGTTAAAACGGAGGCAGAGGTTAGTGTTAGTTAGTGTTAGTGTTCCCTCTTCCTGGTGTAGCTACTGATAAAGTTAAAACGGAGGCAGAGGTTAGTGTTAGTTAGTGTTAGTGTTCCCTCTTCCTGGTGTAGCTACTGATAAAGTTAAAACGGAGGCAGAGGTTAGTGTTAGTTAGTGTTAGTGTTCCCTCTTCCTGGTGTAGCTACTGATAAAGTTAAAACGGAGGCAGAGGTTAGTGTTAGTTAGTGTTAGTGTTCCCTCTTCCTGGTGTAATTACTAATAAAGTTAAAACGGAGGCAGAGGTTAGTGTTAGTTAGTGTTAGTGTTCCCTCTTCCTGATGTAGCTACTGATAAAGTTAAAACGGAGGCAGAGGTTAGTGTTAGTTAGTGTTAGTGTTCCCTCTTCCTGGTGTAGCTACTGATAAAGTTAAAACGGAGGCAGATGTTAGTGTTAGTTAGTGTTAGTGTTCCCTCTTCCTGGTGTAGCTACTGATAAAGTTAAAACTGAGGCAGAGGTTAGTGTTAGTTAGTGTTAGTGTTCCCTCTTCCTAGTTCCTGGTGTAGCTACTGATAAAGTTAAAACGGAGGCAGAGGTTAGTGTTAGTTAGTGTTAGTGTTCCCTCTTCCTGGTGTAGCTACTGATAAAGTTAAAACGGAGGCAGAGGTTAGTGTTAGTTAGTGTTAGTGTTCCCTCTTCCTGGTGTAGCTACTGATAAAGTTAAAACGGAGGCAGAGGTTAGTGTTAGTTAGTGTTAGTGTTCCCTCTTCCTGGTGTAGCTACTGATAAAGTTAAAACGGAGGCAGAGGTTAGTGTTAGTTAGTGTTAGTGTTCCCTCTTCCTGGTGTAATTACTAATAAAGTTAAAACGGAGGCAGAGGTTAGTGTTAGTTAGTGTTAGTGTTCCCTCTTCCTGGTGTAGCTACTGATAAAGTTAAAACGGAGGCAGAGGTTAGTGTTAGTTAGTGTTAGTGTTCCCTCTTCCTGGTGTAGCTACTGATAAAGTTAAAACGGAGGCAGATGTTAGTGTTAGTTAGTGTTAGTGTTCCCTCTTCCTGGTGTAGCTACTGATAAAGTTAAAACTGAGGCAGAGGTTAGTGTTAGTTAGTGTTAGTGTTCCCTCTTCCTAGTTCCTGGTGTAGCTACTGATAAAGTTAAAACGGAGGCAGAGGTTAGTGTTAGTTAGTGTTAGTGTTCCCTCTTCCTGGTGTAGCTACTGATAAAGTTAAAATTGAGGCAGAGGTTAGTGTTAGTTAGTGTTAGTGTTCCTTCTTCCTGGTGTTGCTACTGATAAAGTTAAAACGGAGGCAGAGGTTAGTGTTAGTTAGTGTTAGTGTTCCCTCTTCCTGGTTACTGGTGTAGCTACTGATAAAGTTAAAACAGAGGCAGAGGTTAGTGTTAGTTAGTGTTAGTGTTCCTTCTTCCTGGTGTTGCTACTGATAAAGTTAAAACGGAGGAAGAGGTTAGTGTTAGTTAGTGTTAGTGTTCCCTCTTCCTGGTGTAGCTACTGATAAAGTTAAAACGGAGGCAGAGGTTAGTGTTAGTTAGTGTTAGTGTTCCCTCTTCCTGGTGTTGCTACTGATAAAGTTAAAACGGAGGCAGAGGTTAGTGTTAGTTAGTGTTAGTGTTCCCTCTTCCTGGTGTAATTACTAATAAAGTTAAAACGGAGGCAGAGGTGCGTTTCACATCTTGACTTTGTTTACCTGACAAATAAATATAGCTGTCTGTAATGCACTTCTAACAATAGCTCCTGTATTGTATTTATATAAAGTTATACATAGTTAGATCAGACCACATATTTGACTAGCACTGTTTATCGTGCGATCTCTACATATTCCATTTAATGAATAGCTCTAATACTTTATTATATATGTGATATTCGGGACATCAATATGACTCGGTTAAGATTGTAATCAAATCTGGCAGTCAAGTTTCCACGTTTTTGAAGTATAGAATTTAAATTATAAAACAAGCCTTAATCTCATGTGGGCTGGTAGCTCGTATTTTTATGACGATTTGTTTACAATAACTGATACAACATCAGGTGCTGGGTAAGAATATAGACCGTGAAGAAGAGAGGTTGTTTGATGAGCGTAAGATGAGCGTGTTGCTAACTAGTGACCATCCTCTTACTGCTGACTCAGAGCAAACTGCTCAGGAGGACATCAAGGGGAGTAAGTTACACATTACACATTACACAATACACATCTGTATTAATAATAGGAGGGGGGCTGTTACACAATACACATTACACATCTGTGTTAATAATGGGGGGGGGGGGGGGGGGCTGTTACACAATACACATTACACATCTGTATTAACAGTAGGAGGGGGGGGGGGCTGTGATAATTGAAGGATTACCTTCAATTTAGTGTTGAGTTTAAGTAATCTTGTAAGTTTGGCACGTTTATCTGTCACACGAGCCTATAATTACTCTCTCTCGGCAGGATTACTACAAGACTTTGACCTGCTGTTCCACAACCCTTCAATGCAGTTGCAAGACCAGGAGTCCTTCACTCCAGACGGTGTTAGTCTCTCCTCCGCTAACTCCTACGATAGTCTGGACAGACAACCTGAGTGTGGTACGTTACTTAATTTGTTAACAGGAATTTCATTTGTTTAATTTGTTATTTATTTATTTTTGGTTTGTTTAGTACACTTACGTGACTTTATGTGATTCTTTGCCACTATATAATAAGTTAGTGCACGTTTATTTCTTTCATTAATATCATTGTAAAAGGTACCTGAAATTGAACTCAATGCTCATTTCACGTTTTTGCTAAATAGCATTTTGTTGAACCACTATGCTGGTGGATTCTATAAAGTGACTGCTAAACGGCAGTTTACCTGTAATACCATAATACCTTGTGCAGACCTGGTAGGCGCTATAAATAATAATATGACAGTGGAATGTCTACATATAAGGTATAATAAATGAGGAATAGTGTCGCTGTGTAGGGGGTCTTATCCTCTTCTCTTAGTATACATAATACTATAATACCTGGTGCAGTGCTGTAATACTATAATACTTACTACCTACTACTACCTTACTATTACTAATACCTGGTGCTGTTACTCTCGTAATACTACTAACTGAATGTTCAGTAGATGGCTTGATTTTATAGTTGACCTGAATAAACCCTCCAACTCTCATCACCATGGTTACAATTAAAATGTTATCAGGAAGTGTAGATAATGTTCATCTCTCTACACTAACAGAACAAAGTAACACAGAGGGAGACAGTGCAACCTTGCAACCTGGAGAGAGTCTTTATGGTAGGGGATAGAGACAGCATACTGTACCTCATATATATAATGTAGCTCATGTAATGTAACTGATGTAATGTAGCTGATGTAATGTAGCTCATGTAATGTAGCTGATATAATGTAGCTGATGTAATGTAGCTGATGTAATGTAGCTGATGTAATGTAGCTGATGTAATGTAGCTGATGTAATGTAGCTGATGTAATGTAGCTGATGTAATGTAGCTGATGTAATGTAGCTGATGTAATGTAGCTGATGTAATGTAGCTGATGTAATGTAGCTGATATAATGTAACTGATGTAATGTAGCTGATGTAATGTAGCTCATGTAATGTAGCTGATATAATGTAGCTGATGTAATGTAGCTGATGTAATGTAGCTGATGTAATGTAGCTGATGTAATGTAGCTGATGTAATGTAGCTGATGTAATGTAGCTGATGTAATGTAGCTGATGTAATGTAGCTGATATAATGTAACTGATGTAATGTAGCTGATGTAATGTAGCTCATGTAATGTAGCTGATATAATGTAGCTGATGTAATGTAGCTGATGTAATGTAGCTGATGTAATGTAGCTGATGTAATGTAGCTGATGTAATGTAGCTGATGTAATGTAGCTGATGTAATGTAGCTGATATAATGTAGCTGATGTAATGTAGCTGATGTAATGTAGCTCATGTAATGTAGCTCATGTAATGTAGCTGATGTAATGTAGCTGATGTAATGTAGCTCATGTAATGTAGCTGATGTAATGTAGCTGATGTAATGTAGCTGATGTAATGTAGCTGATGTAATGTAGCTGATGTAATGTAGCTGATGTAATGTAGCTGATGTAATGTAGCTGATGTAATGTAGCTGATGTAATGTAGCTCATGTAATGTAGCTGATGTAATGTAGCTGATGTAATGTAGCTGATGTAATGTAGCTGATGTAATGTAGCTGATGTAATGTAGCTGATGTAATGTAGCTGATGTAATGTAGCTGATGTAATGTAGCTGATATAATGTAACTGATGTAATGTAGCTGATGTAATGTAGCTGATGTAATGTAGCTCATGTAATGTAGCTGATGTAATGTAGCTGATGTAATGTAGCTGATATAATGTAGCTGATGTAATGTAGCTGATGTAATGTAGCTGATGTAATGTAGCTGATGTAATGTAGCTGATGTAATGTAGCTCATGTAATGTAGCTGATGTAATGTAGCTCATGTAATGTAGCTGATGTAATGTAGCTGATGTAATGTAGCTGATGTAATGTAGCTGATGTAATGTAGCTGATGTAATGTAGCTGATGTAATGTAGCTGATGTAATGTAGCTGATGTAATGTAGCTGATGTAATGTAGCTGATGTAATGTAGCTGATGTAATGTAGCTGATGTAATGTAGCTGATGTAATGTAGCTGATGTAATGTAGCTGATGTAATGTAGCTGATGTAATGTAGCTGATGTAATGTAGCTGATGTAATGTAGCTGATGTAATGTAGCTGATATAATGTAGCTGATGTAATGTAGCTGATGTAATGTAGCTGATGTAATGTAGCTGATATAATGTAGCTGATGTAATGTAGCTGATGTAATGTAGCTCATGTAATGTAACTGATGTAATGTAGCTGATGTAATGTAGCTGATGTAATGTAGCTGATGTAATGTAGCTGATGTAATGTAGCTGATGTAATGTAGCTGATGTAATGTAGCTGATGTAATGTAGCTGATGTAATGTAGCTGATGTAATGTAGCTAATGTAATGTAGCTCATGTAATGTAGCTGATGTAATGTAGCTGATGTAATGTAGCTGATGTAATGTAGCTGATGTAATGTAGCTGATGTAATGTAGCTGATGTAATGTAGCTCATGTAATGTAGCTGATATAATGTAACTGATGTAATGTAGCTGATGTAATGTAGCTGATATAATGTAGCTCATGTAATGTAGCTGATATAATGTAACTGATGTAATGTAGCTGATGTAATGTAGCTGATGTAATGTAGCTGATGTAATGTAGCTCATGTAATGTAGCTCATGTAATGTAGCTGATGTAATGTAGCTGATATAATGTAGCTGATGTAATGTAGCTGATATAATGTAGCTGATGTAATGTAGCTGATGTAATGTAGCTGATGTAATGTAGCTGATGTAATGTAGCTGATGTAATGTAGCTGATGTAATGTAGCTGATGTAATGTAGCTGATGTAATGTAGCTGATGTAATGTAGCTGATGTAATGTAGCTGATGTAATGTAACTGATGTAATGTAGCTGATATAATGTAGCTGATGTAATGTAGCTCATGTAATGTAGCTGATGTAATGTAGCTGATGTAATGTAGCTGATATAATGTAGCTGATGTAATGTAGCTGATGTAATGTAGCTGATGTAATGTAGCTGATGTAATGTAGCTCATGTAATGTAGCTGATATAATGTAACTGATGTAATGTAGCTGATATAATGTAGCTGATGTAATGTAGCTGATGTAATGTAACTGATGTAATGTAGCTGATATAATGTAGCTGATGTAATGTAGCTCATGTAATGTAGCTGATGTAATGTAGCTGATGTAATGTAGCTGATGTAATGTAGCTGATGTAATGTAGCTCATGTAATGTAGCTGATATAATGTAACTGATGTAATGTAGCTGATGTAATGTAGCTCATGTAATGTAGCTGATGTAATGTAGCTGATGTAATGTAGCTGATGTAATGTAGCTGATGTAATGTAGCTGATGTAATGTAGCTGATGTAATGTAGCTCATGTAATGTAGCTGATATAATGTAACTGATGTAATGTAGCTGATGTAATGTAGCTGATGTAATGTAGCTCATGTAATGTAGCTCATGTAATGTAACTGATGTAATGTAGCTGATGTAATGTAGCTGATGTAATGTAGCTGATGTAATGTAGCTGATGTAATGTAGCTCATGTAATGTAGCTGATGTAATGTAGCTCATGTAATGTAGCTGATATAATGTAACTGATGTAATGTAGCTGATGTAATGTAGCTGATGTAATGTAGCTCATGTAATGTAGCTGATGTAATGTAGCTGATGTAATGTAGCTGATGTAATGTAGCTGATGTAATGTAGCTCATGTAATGTAGCTCATGTAATGTAGCTGATATAATGTAGCTGATGTAATGTAGCTGATATAATGTAGCTGATGTAATGTAGCTGATGTAATGTAGCTGATGTAATGTAGCTGATGTAATGTAGCTGATGTAATGTAGCTGATATAATGTAGCTGATGTAATGTAGCTGATGTAATGTAGCTGATGTAATGTAGCTGATGTAATGTAGCTGATGTAATGTAGCTGATGTAATGTAGCTGATGTAATGTAGCTGATGTAATGTAGCTGATGTAATGTAGCTCATGTAATGTAGCTGATGTAATGTAGCTGATGTAATGTAGCTCATGTAATGTAGCTCATGTAATGTAGCTGATGTAATGTAGCTCATGTAATGTAGCTGATGTAATGTAGCTCATGTAATGTAGCTGATGTAATGTAGCTCATGTAATGTAGCTGATGTAATGTAGCTCATGTAATGTAGCTGATGTAATGTAGCTGATATAATGTAGCTGATGTAATGTAGCTCATGTAATGTAGCTGATGTAATGTAGCTGATGTAATGTAGCTGATATAATGTAGCTGATGTAATGTAGCTGATGTAATGTAGCTGATATAATGTAGCTGATGTAATGTAGCTGATGTAATGTAGCTGATGTAATGTAGCTCATGTAATGTAGCTGATATAATGTAGCTGATGTAATGTAGCTGATGTAATGTAGCTGATATAATGTAGCTGATATAATGTAGCTGATGTAATGTAGCTGATGTAATGTAGCTGATGTAATGTAGCTGATGTAATGTAGCTGATGTAATGTAGCTCATGTAATGTAGCTCATGTAATGTAGCTGATATAATGTAGCTGATGTAATGTAGCTGATGTAATGTAGCTCATGTAATGTAGCTGATGTAATGTAGCTCATGTAATGTAGCTGATGTAATGTAGCTGATGTAATGTAGCTCATGTAATGTAGCTCATGTAATGTAGCTGATGTAATGTAGCTCATGTAATGTAGCTGATGTAATGTAGCTCATGTAATGTAGCTGATGTAATGTAGCTCATGTAATGTAGCTGATGTAATGTAGCTCATGTAATGTAGCTGATGTAATGTAGCTCATGTAATGTAGCTGATGTAATGTAGCTGATGTAATGTAGCTCATGTAATGTAGCTCATGTAATGTAGCTGATGTAATGTAGCTCATGTAATGTAGCTGATGTAATGTAGCTCATGTAATGTAGCTGATGTAATGTAGCTGATGTAATGTAGCTGATGTAATGTAGCTGATATAATGTAGCTGATGTAATGTAGCTGATATAATGTAACTGATGTAATGTAGCTGATGTAATGTAGCTCATGTAATGTAACTGATGTAATGTAGCTGATGTAATGTAGCTGATGTAATGTAGCTGATGTAATGTAGCTCATGTAATGTAGCTGATGTAATGTAGCTGATATAATGTAGCTGATGTAATGTAGCTCATGTAATGTAGCTGATGTAATGTAGCTGATGTAATGTAGCTGATATAATGTAGCTGATGTAATGTAGCTGATGTAATGTAGCTGATATAATGTAGCTGATGTAATGTAGCTGATGTAATGTAGCTGATGTAATGTAGCTCATGTAATGTAGCTGATATAATGTAGCTGATGTAATGTAGCTGATGTAATGTAGCTGATATAATGTAGCTGATATAATGTAGCTGATGTAATGTAGCTGATGTAATGTAGCTGATGTAATGTAGCTCATGTAATGTAGCTCATGTAATGTAGCTGATATAATGTAGCTGATGTAATGTAGCTGATGTAATGTAGCTGATATAATGTAGCTGATGTAATGTAGCTGATGTAATGTAGCTGATGTAATGTAGCTGATATAATGTAGCTGATGTAATGTAGCTGATGTAATGTAGCTGATATAATGTAGCTGATGTAATGTAGCTGATGTAATGTA